AGGGCCCCGGGGCCCTCCAGCCCAGCCCTGCTTCCCCAGTGCCGTCCGTCTCCACGCAGGGAGACCCGACTTTGCAACAAAGCATCTTGAGAGATAGGATGGGGGACCACCAGGAAAGGTCAGGAGGAGGAGCCAAGGGCTGCTTGTGGCCCCCTGCTAAACCTTCCTTCCTTTCCTTCTTTTTTTCTTCCCTTTTCCTTCTTTTTCCTTCCTTGCTCCCTTCCCATCTTTCCTTCCTTTTCTTTCTCTTTCCTCTTTTCCTTTCTCCTTTCCTCTCCCTTCTTGGATGCTCAAATGCAAAAGGGGAAACATTTCTCCTGTCGTATTGCTTTGCTTTTGATTCGTTTTGCTAGCCCTCTGCCAACGAAAGAGGAGCTCTGGGGAGACGTGTGCGGCCCGCCTGGCCCCATTTCCATACGTGATGTGGCTGCATGTGGCCCCTCTGAGCTCCCTTTTTGCTGGCAGAGGCACCGCGGGCCAGTCCTTCACTGTTTCCAGTTGCAAAGGAGGCTTCTGCTTATTGCCCAGTAACAACAGTGACAACAGCATGGATTTGGGGGGCAGCTGGCAAATTGGGGTTGTGAGTTTGTGAGTTTTTATATGTTTCTGGGTTCTTTGTTATCAGCGTGTTGGGATTTATATGAAAAAGTTTCTTCTCTGCCCCTTGGACTTGATATAGTGCTTTAATTGTCATCGTGAGATTCTCTTTTGTGGCAGGTGGAGTCATGACTGGCCCTAATAGAAAAGGGGAAATGTAAATCCTAAGTTTTTGGTTTTCCTAATTTGACCTTGCACAATCAATTCCAGTCCTTGGTCTATTCTGCTTTCTTCTTGGAGATGGCTTTTACAATGTGCGCATTATTTTATGAATGAAACTTGGTTTCCTTAAACTTTGCCTGCAGGGTGTTTTAGTGGAGGAAAAACTGGGGCTTCTTTCTGCCTTTTTAAAGGAGATTTTTCTCCTCTTCCCCTTTAGGGGAAATTCTGCTTCTTTTCTTGTTCTGTGGAATACTTTGTTCTGGGGAGGGGGCTCTTCTACCTGAGGATGAGCCCTTCTCAGCCCACCAACCGAGCAACAGAGGTTTGGTTAACCTTTAATTAGCCATTTTGCAATTGGCTGCTGATCTTAATTGGAATGGTGGGCACTTCTGCTTGCAGCCCCAGGGCATCTGAGGAAGGTCCCTGCAGGGGCAAAGGCTGCTGGTCCCAGAGTCTCTCCTGGAGGCCCTGAGGCTCTTTGGTGTGCTGGCTGCAAGAGACTCTGGAATGGACACCAGCACGGGAGGAGAAGAGGAGAGCTGTTCGTTTGCCAGTTTAAAAATCCTTAGATAAGAGTCCGCAGAGCTACCATGTCCTTGGGAAAGGAGGGAGGTTTTCATTACCACTTTCTGTGCTTTGCATGTAACGGAATCCTTTTTCTGCAACAGGTCAGCCCCCCGACGGCTTCCGGGACGTCCTTCTCAGAGAGGGCCCTGCGGGCTTCGCCAAGGCCATTCGGCAGCACCAGGGCCTGCTTTTAATGGACACCACCTTCCGAGATGCTCACCAGTCCCTGCTGGCCACTCGCGTTCGCACCCACGACCTGAAGAAGATTGCCCCCTTCGTAGCTCACAACTTCAGCAGGCTCTTCAGCATCGAGAACTGGGGAGGTGAGAGAGCGCTGGGGTCCCCCTGCCCCCCCCCCCCAGGAAGTCTGTGAGGAAGCTTGTGAGGAGGTTTCTGGCTGCCAGGTTGATGGCCAGCTGAGATGGGGCTGCCCACGTGCGTTCTGAGTGGACGTTTGCCCCCCAGGGGCTCTCGATGAAGCTAGCAACTCAGGCTTGAAATAAAGGGACAGGTTTACCTTGCCTGCACATAATCACCACGGGCGATAGTCGTAGAGCTGTGAGCCTGAAGGAAGACCTGGCAAACTTAGCATTATAACTGGTCAAAAACAGCAAATCAGAAGAGCAAATAAAATAACAAAATTACCCAAAGAGCTTAAGAATGGCATAAAAATGGATATTTTAATTTCAAGTGAGGATTTGGCTTTTTGTTACCTTGCCAGCCTTCTTACCGGATTACACAAACGTTACAATTCCCAAGCCCAGTCAGCAGAATAAAGGGCTCCATTTTATCTAATCTGAGCCTGGGAGGAGAGAGCATTGCAGCGCAGCAGAAAAAATAGGTGGTACAAGCAGTAGTAAAGCCTCCCTGATTGGTCAGTCAAACAGCAGGAGGGGTGGGTTAAACACAGCAGTCAATCATCGTGTCTTGGGGGTGGGGGGGGGAGTTATGTGGTGCCAGAGAGGCATTCAGCCAGTCCCGAGTCCTGAGCTCTACTATTAGGATGCATCACTCTGTGTGACCGTCTTTCTGACGGTACTTAATTCCTCCCCTTGCAATGTCAGGTGGAACTGGATGGGGAGGGTGAGAGCAGTGGCGAAATGCCATGTCAGACCTTTTGCCTGCCCCCAACTGGAGCTGCTTTTGGAAAAAGGAGAATTGCCACAACTTAATTTCCTCACTTCCGACCCCCAGAGGGCTTCCAATCATCTTCTCAACAACCTTCCCTAAAATGGGTAGCTGGAGACCAAATAAACTTTGTTTCTTGAGGAGTCGTCCCTCAAGGATGCATCATTACCAGATGGATCCCCACCACACGTCATCTTGGGATAGTTTTCGTACAATCATAAGCAACATGGATCTTTTAAGTGATCCCACTTACAACTTTGAGGATCCTCTCCAGTTCCTCAGGACCAGTAGGTTCACCTCTTCTCAGATGACGGAGCAGTCAACTCCATGTGGGAGTTAAGTGGGATCACTTAAAAGATCCATGTTTACAGTCAGGCCCCACTTGGAACAGATCTCTTATGAGCGACTTCATCCAACAGATGGCCCCTTTGTCCAGGAGAGAGTGGGTCACCTTGAAGAAGCTGCCAGCCCAGCTGTTGGCAGATGGAAATGTCGCCCTCATTGCAGTAAAATTCCTACTTATGTAATGACCCACAGGTGGTCCTTCATCCTTATTAAAGCTGCATCTTCACTCCCTTGCATGTTCACCTCAGACTCCAGTTGTGTTCATCCAGATCCTTTCCAGATGGATCTGATTCTTTTCCCAGGTCTGTGAAATATCTGAAACACTTGAGCAGAGGCTGTTTTGAAATGAGTGGCCTGTTGACTCTTGAATTTGGCCACAGGTTTGGTTCCCACAGG